CATAGGGCCAGGGAACAAAGGCAATGCATTTTTCTTTGGGGTTTTCCTGAATCCCTGGTCTAGGAGGAGGAACTCATATTTATAAACACTAGAAGGAAATGGAAGTTCAGAGAGGACCCACCGCCTGTTTTCTGCCATGAGTCAATAAGAGAAGAACATGCGTTTCAGGATTTAGGTGAGTTAAGAGCAGATTGAAGAATTTTAATCTATTGGTGAACAAGCCTTCCTCTAATCCTGATACCACATTCTTCTTCATATAATCTAGCCTCTCCGATTATTTGCTCAGCATGCAGGTTGAACAAGTGTGATCAGAGGATACAACCCTGACACACCTTTCCTAATTTTAAACGTGCATAAGCCCTTGTTCTTTTTGCACAACTATCTTTTGATCCATGTACAAGTTCCTCATGAGCCCAATCAAATGTTCAGAAATTTCTGTTCTTCTCAAGGCGCTCCATAGTTTATTATGGTCCCCATAGTCGAATGCCTTTGCATCACCAATAAAACTAAAGCAAACATCTTTGTGATATTCTCTGCCATTACCAAGATCCATCTGACAGCAGCAAACTTCTTCATGGGACACCATTTGTACTTCACCTTTGAGGCTTGCTGGGACTTAAGTCTAGGGATATATCTAAGACAATGATATATGAGAAATAAAACCAGTGACACACACACACACACACACACACACACACACACACACACACGAACTTTATATCAAGAAGTAATTTTGAGAACTTGACCGCAGCTGAGGTAGTTTTCCTCTGTCAGTGTTTGTTTCTTTAATGCATTCATAATCTCCTCTTTATTTACCACATGGTTTTGTATTTTTCCAGAAATTTTTCTTTGTGTATTTTTTTAACAAAAGTAGTTTCATATAATGAATACATTTGTAGTATTGTGTCATATATTATACTTGTGAGTAAGCATTTGTTTTTCTACTTTAACAGTTTTATTGGCAGATAATTCACAAATCACACAATTGAATAGTCTAATCATATGAAGAAGAGGTGCACCGTCATCACCACAATCAATTTAAGAACACTTTCTTCATTCTTAGACTTCATTCTTAGTCAGAGGCTTTTCATATGGGCAGATATGCTTCATGGGTGCTAGGCAGGCCTCTAGTGATTCCCCTCGGTCCATAGACCAGGAATGTGAATAGCATTGCTATCATGCAGGATGCATTGAAAAGTGGACTATTGTAGATATAGTTAGGTTTAAATTTAACACCTTAGCATTTGATTGTCCTTTTGACCCATTTAAAATATGTTCTATTTTTTAATATTTTCCATTGAGATTTCCTCTATTATACTTTGTTATTGTTGTTATTTTCTCTCTCTCTCTGCATATGAAGTCCAGGATAGGAAAATTTATAAGACAAGGAGTTGGGGGGAAATAGGGAGCTAATAATGATGAGTACCCGAATGAAGAACATGTTCTAAAATTAATTGTGGTGATAACTGTACAACTCTTCTGAATACGACTGAACAATTGAATTGTATGATTTGTGAATTATCTGCCAATAAGATGGAAAAATAATAAATTAAAAGAAGAAAGAATTTTATTTCAAGAAAGCATTCCAGTCCATTCCAATTCAAGTCTACAGGTTAAGGCTAGCTGGAGCCCTCCTCAGACAAACAAGGGCCTATCAAGTGAACAGGACTCATGGGGAACATTTTCTGCAGAACAATCAGCAGAACATTTTCTGCAGAACAAGCAGTTAGCATTTGCCCAGGAACAAAGCTCAGATGACTAGGAAGGGCAGGAAAGAAGGATGAGGGGTAACAAGGAACCCTGAGGGAAAGGGGCTGCTGCACTGAAGAACTTGCAAATAATATTCTGAAGCCAACGGTGTAGGTAGTGTTGAATGAAAAGCTGACTTGCAGGAACAACACTGGAGACAGTGTGGGAACTGCACCCGATCTGATCCCTCCACACCTAGGAAAAACACTAAGGGCGTGCAACAGAACCACAAGGGGAACAGAGCAACGAAGTCCCCAGGGAATACCAAAAATAGACTTTGGGGCCAGGGCGTAGCACCCCATCAGACTCGATCAGAAAACACTCCTAAAGGCCAACAAACAGTCCTTGAACTAACTACAGGCTTTTCTTTTTTGTTGTTGTCCGTTGTTGGGGTGGTTTTTGTTTGTTTGTTTTGTCATTGGTTTTTTGTTGCTGTTGTTGTTTTGTTTTCTTTTGTTGCTTTGTTTTACTCTGTCTTGTTTTGGTGCATGTAATTATCTCCACAGGTCTGTCTAAATAAGATAGGCTGGATGCACAATCTGGAGGAGAAAACAACTGGACCAGTGGTTCAGGGGGACATGGGAGAGGGGGAGGTGGGGGAAAGGATGTGGTGTTAACAAACCCAGGGATAAGGGAAAAACAGGTGATCCAAATCGGTGGTGAGGAGGGTGTAGGAGGCCTGGTAGGACGTGATCAAGGGTAATATAACCGAGAGGAATTACTGAAACCCAAATGAAGGCTGAGTATGATAATGGGACAAGAGGAAAGTAAAAGGAAATAGAGGAAAGAACTAGGAGGCAAAGGGCATTTATAGAGGTCTAAATAAAGA